CTGCGGCGGGCGCCGCCCGGCGCGCGGCGGCAGCCGCCGGCGCCTCCAGCGGCCGCGGGGGCGAACGCTACGGCGGTGGCCGGTGGTCCAAAGGTATACACCACCACCACCTCCCTCATCCTCTCCCTCCCCCAGGAAAGTGGATATGGGAAGACGAGGGTGGAGGAGGGAGAAGGAATCGACGTGGTGGTGGTGTAGACTCTTGGTGCCCGCAGGTGGCGACGTCGTCCGTGAGCCCCGCCCGGGCCGTCGCGGTCATCGCGGACACCGCGGGCCCTGGGGCCGAGGGCAGCCACGCGCTGCACAGCGCCGAGGGTGGCAGCGCGCTGCTGCCAACGGCGACGGGGCCAGACGCCCTGTCGAGGCTGCGCGCCGCCTGCGGCGCCCACCCGGTGCGGGTGGCAGCCCTCGGCTGCCTGGTGGCGCCTGCCGCCTACGCCGTCGGCAAGGCCAGGAGCAGGTGCAGGAGGCGCTCCGGAGGCAGGGAGCCGCTGCGCGGCAGCGGCGCGGCCGAGCCAGCCTTGGCGATGGAGGAGGACCTCTCCCCAGTGTACAGGGGCAGCTTCAGGCACCCCGCGTTCGAGGGCGAGGTGCCCGTGGTCGTGAGGCTGGATGCCGCGTACAGGGGCTCGTGGCTGGCGCTGGGGCAGACCGAGGAGATTGACGTGTGCCGCTCCGGATCGGCCGTGTCGCTCCGGGAAGTCGGAGGCTCGGAGGGCGTCGGCTGTACGCCTGCACCGACCCTGGCCAGGCAAGCCCTGGGCTTAGGTCGGGCATGTCCTCCCACAGGCGGATTTTAGAAGAAAAAAGACACAGAGTCAAAACATATTTGAAATTAGCTAAAGAGAGTAGAACATCGTCCCCAGATTACTTCTTTGACTATTTTTGAACATTCCTCCTGTAGAGGGACATGCCGACTTGATCCTTGGCCCAGGACCGGTGCACCAGAGGAGGAGGAGGAGGAGGAGGAGGAAGAGGAGGAGGGGGAGCAGGAGGAGGAGGAAGAGGAGAAGGAGGAGGAGGAGGAGGAGGAGGATTCTAGGGTGTTCTGGGCGGGTGAGGTGGAGGAGAACTGTGAGGTTGATTGAGGAAGAGTTGGATGAAGAGGAGGAGGAGGAGGAGGAGGAGGAGGAGGAGGAGGAGTACGTGGGTGGGGAGCGGAAGGATCTGGTGCCCTCTCCGCCACGCCAGGGCGGCGATCACACGCCCCTCCGGGGGGCCCACAAGGGCCCTGCTCAGGACGCCCCTCCAGGCAGGGCGCCCGGCGTCTAGGCGCACAGCCGAGATGCCCTCCGCGAGGCGCCACGATCCTTGAGGGCAGCATCCAGAGCGGGACGCGGTGGGCCAGATTTCCACCACCACTACCACATGCAGGAGGAGGAGGAGGAGGAGGAGGAGGAGGAGTGAGGAGCCGGAGGCGGGGAGATGGAGGCGGAGGAGGAGGAGGAGGAGGAGGCGGGGAGGACCGAGGATGAGGCCGGAGGCAGGAGAGGAGGAGGAGGAGGGAGGGGAGGAGGAGAAGAGAGAGGAGGAGGAGGATGTAAGGAGGGAGAGGAAGGTAGAAGGAGGAGGAGGAGGAGGGGGAAGGAGGAGGGGAGGAGGAGGAGAATGAGGAGGAGGAGGAGGAGGAGGAGGAGGAGGAGGAGGAGGAGGAGGACGGGGAGGTGGAGGAGGACCTCCCCTGTCCTGCCTCATGGTAGCGGTGGTGGGACATTGGGCCCTTCAGGACGGGCGCCATCTTCGGCACGGTGGTGCAGGATGGCGTGCGGGGCGGCGCCTTCGAGCTGACGCCCGAGCCGCTGGGGCAGGAGCCTCCAGGCTGGAGCCCCGCGGCGGCGCCAGACGCCTCCTTCGTCGCGCAGGCCTTAAGTCGGGCATGTCCCTCTACGGGAGGAAAATTCAAAAATAGTCCAAATATAGTCTGGGGACGATTTTTCGTCCAAGATCCGCCTGTAGGAGGACATGCCCGACCTGATGCAGGTGCCAAAGCACGCCGGCCTCGCCGACGCCGACGCGCCCCCGACTCCCCCGACGGACTTCTCGGACGAGGAGGATCGACGTCATCCCAACATACACTACATGTGCGTCGTCCCCCCAGGGGCGACGCGCGCATCCAGGAATCCGACAGCATGTGTGCGTCGTGCCGTGCGCGTTCTGGCCGCACCGCTCGGGAAACGGTGCGCTACAAGATGGTTATACTGTATGCTCGGGCTGGACGCACGCCTCCGACGAGGACATACAGCGGCGGCGCGCATCAAGAAGCCATGTCCTTTTCGTCATGGTACCCTGGCTTTCTTCGCTCCGCGCGCCGCGCGGTGACCTCCCGCAGTCGTTGAAGGAGCTGCTGCGTTCGGGATGCTCAGGTTTTCGCCTCGCGCGCGGGTTTTTGGGCTTGGGGTTTCTTGCGAAGGCTCCTTGCGGCCGCGCCCGCACCGCACAGTGCCACAGTAGGTCCCTGCCTTGGCACCGCTCGGACGTGTGCGTTTTCTTCCTTCAGCGAGGACCAGCGAGGAGCATCCTTGGTCATCTGGCGAGAAAGCCACGCGCGGAACCGAACAAAAACCACAGGGAAGGGACGTCCGAGCGATGCCCCGCCGTGCGCCCCACCACTAACCGAAACCCCCCCTCGGCAGAGCCAAGCACACAGCAAACCCTTACACCCCCCAACCTCGCCGAGCCATTACCCGCGCCAAGAAACGACCCCCCCCATACGACCACGAGGACTTCTCTGCCATGAGTCTCCGGCTACGGACACTCACAGCGCACGCCGCGCGTTCCCTCCGCCCCTGCCCCCGGGGGGGGGGGGGGGGCGCAGAGGGAGGAGGAGGAGGAGGAGGAGGAGGAGGAGGAGGAGGAGGAGGAGGAGGAGGAGGAGGAAGGAGGAAGGAGGAAGAGGAGGCGGATCGAGGCGAGGGCGAGCCCTTCGAGACGGAGGGCTTCGAGACAGGGCCCACCAGCGCGCGCAGCGAAGTACGCCGCAGAGTGGAGCCGCCCCGTGCCGAGGCCGCTGTCGTTCCCCGGCTTAGGATGCTCCAGCCTACTTTAGCCTTGATCGCCAGGACGAATTTCGTCGGGGGTGGAAAGAGCCCCCAACAGTGACACGTCGATTCGTGAATGGTCCGTTTTCGGTTCTCGAGAGGGCGCCGTGGCCGTCATTTTCCAGGCTTGCGCCCGCCAGGTTTGGGCCTCAGGTCGTTTTCACTAAACCACGTTTTACTAAAGGGGGGTCTGTCCATCCCCGATTTCGAGCGCCCCAAAAAGTACCGAAAGCCAAGGGTTTTCACGCGCCGGGCCCTGGGAGACACTGTTTCGACACTGTTTCGACGCTCTTTTGACACTTGTCTGGGTGCTCGAAAGTAGTTCTGGGATGCGGTCCTTAAGAAGGACGGAGGCCTTCCAGTCAGGAGCGAACGAAGGACGTACGCTGAAGTCGGGCCTGTCCCTCTACAGGGGGAATGCTCAAAGATAGTCAAAGAATGATCTGGGGACGATTTGTGGAGCATTTCTTGACCATTTTGGGGGCATGTTTGGGGTATTAAAAAAAAAATTGTTCGTCCAAGATCCCCCTGTAGGGGGACAGGCCCGACTTGAACGAACGCGTGCATGAATCCACGCTGGTTTCGAGGGTGCGCACTGCGCAGCTGCTCGCATCACGCGGCCAGACTCGCGGATCGAGGGGCCGCGCGTTCGTGTGCCTAGCTGGGCGCGTGCGTCCTCTGCGGGCTCCCTGCCTGGGGGGGCCCTCGCCGATGCCGGATTCGCCCCGGGGTCCCAGTCGCATCGGGGCCCGGGAGGGGTTTTGTGGGCAGGGGTGTTGTCCCCCTCCAGGGAAGGAGGGAGGAGAAGGTCGAGGGGGAGGAGTGGGACGGCGAAGACGACGACGGCGATGACCAGCGGGAAGCGGAAACGGGCAGTGGGGAGCGGGGTGGAGTGAGGTGCGGGAGTGGTCAGGAGGGGGGGGCGAGCGAGAGGGGGACACGAGAGGGAGGAGGCCCTCTCGGAAGGCGGCGGGGCTTCTCAGAAGCTCTGAGTCCTTCTGGAAAGTTTTCGCGTCTTCGGGGAAGGCTTAGGAACCTTCTCCGAAGGCTGGGAGTCTTTCGAGCCTTCTGAGAAGGCTCGCCTCTTCTCGCTTCCCCCCCGAGCTCGCCTTGAAAGAGCCGACAGGGCCAGACCCCAACGGGACGGGTCAGATCTCAGCGGGCCGGACTCTCAGGACTGGTCAGATTCCGATTGACGCACAGGTTGGTGTGGTATCTGCTCGTGCCATTGCACTGGCTTGTGTACCGTTGTGCTGCCTTGGGCTTCTGTGGTGTGCGGGTGCGTTGCGCTGGGATTTGATAAGGGGGCCACAGGCGAACCCTACCCCTACCCCTCACGATTTCTGAGGGGGGTAGGGGTAGGGTTCGCATGTGGCCCCGTATTTGAGCAGTCTGGGGGGCCTCAACCATTGGGACCTGACCCGTCTCGAACAGAAGAACCGACACAGACGTACACGTTCGGAGGTCCGCGCAGATTTTTGGGGCATCGGCTCTGGCACCCTCTGCCCAACGCGTGGAGCGCACTACAGTCAAGGTTTATGATGCTCCAAAGTACTTTGGCCTTGATCACCAGAATGAATTTCGAGCATCAGGAAAGCACCCCCAAAACTCGAGGGTTTTCACGTGTCGGGCCCTGGGAGACACTTTTTCGACACTTTTCTGGGTGCTCGAAATTATTTCTGGGATGTGGTCCTTAAGTACGATGGGAGCAACAAAAGTCAAGGTGGTTATTTTGCTCGTGAGATGTTTGACGGGCTGAGGGTGGTCTCGTGGCTGGCGCGCGGGTCGCTCTGGCCGCCCTTTCAAACGAAAGCCCACCCTTGCTCTCGGCATGACCTGCTGGAGCGACTTTCCCCTCTCAGAACGGGGTGCTGTAGCCCGTGCCGTGCGCTGCTGGAGCCGCTGCCCGTCGAAAAAGCTGGCCGCTGGAGCCCACCCTTTGTGCCGGCACGAGCTGCTGGGGCCGCTTCCCCTCGTAGCAAGTGGGCCCTGGAACCTCACTCCGCGTAGAGTTTTCGGCAAGTCAAGAGGGCCAGCCGGGGGAGGGGGATGCGACGGGGCCCGGGCTTGGGGCCCCAGCACTGCAGTCACGCCTCACTCCCAGACGGGGGCAATTCGCGTGCGCGTGCACGCGCCTGCGCGTGCCCGTGCGTGCGTGCGCGTGTGCGCCTGCGTGCTCGTGCGCCTGTGCGTGCGCCTTTGCGTGCGTGCGTGCGTGCGTGCGTGTGCGCGTATGCGCGCGCGTGCGCAGGCTCGGGCGCGAGCCCAAGCCAGACCCCGAGCGCGAGCCTGAGCCCGTGACCGGGCGCGAGCTTGAGCCCCTCCCGTTCCTCGGCCCTTGGCAGGTGCTCACGTGTTTTCTGCATGGATGTGAGTTCAGGTGTCCGGGCTTCGGCAGCGCCCTGAATACCCCCAGTGGAGATGGTGCCCAGCTTCCTCGGCCTTCCCCGACCCGCTCCAGGCTACGCAGAAGTGCCCAGCCAGCTCTCTAGTCGGGATGATGGGGGAACTAGATACGGCCCGGTCGCCCTCGATTCTTTCTCTGGCCTCCGTCCGACGTGCCTCGGGCGCCCGGGCTCGGTCTACCGCCGACCACGTGGATGCACCTAGGCAGGCTGTGCTGTGGAGAGGCCCCCCCTCGGGGCATCTGCATCAGTTGGGGCGAAAATCTCATTGTGAAAATGACCCGCCCTCCATCCGTGAGACTGTTGCAACCGTTTAGCACGAATGCGGAGGGCGTTGAGGCGATGAATATCCACGCTCCGAAAACGACCGCCGTTCCATCCGTGAAGCGGCTGCAGACTCTTAAGATGGTTGGGCACGGTTCGAAGACGAGGGCCACAGTTTCAGAACGCCCCCCCCTATCCGCTAAATCGCTGCAAACTTTCAAGACTGATGCGAGAGCCACAGTTTGAGAATGCCCCCCTCTCAATCCGCGAAGCGGTTGCAATCCATCTCCGCAATCGTACATGGTGAGGAAGTCCAAACAGTACGTTTAGGGGTGGGATAGGTGGGGTTGCTGATGAGGAAGAGGTATGGAGGCGGGGGAGGAGGGAAGGAGGGAGGCAGCGGGGGAGAAAAGAAAGAATGTGGAGCGAGGAGGGAGGCGGGAGGGAGTCGACAAGCCAGCAGGGGCTGCATGCACGTATGCTTGCGGAGGTCCGCGCGGGTTTCTTCGGTCGGCGCTGGGTCCCCCGCCGGCGACGTTTGCGGCGCCGCCTCTGGCGCGCCTCGCGCGCCAGGGAAAAGGTGGCCCAGCGTCGAGTCACAAGAGCACGTGGATCCTCCTCCTCCTCGTCCTCCTCCTGCTCCTCCTGCTCCTCCTCCTCCTCCTCTCCCCGCGCGTCGTTCGCTCCTCCTCCTCTCCCTTCTCCTCCTCCTCCTCCTCCTTCTCCTCCTCCTCCTCCTCCTCCTCCTCCTCCTCCTGCCACCCCTTGGATATCAGCGAATTCCTCCTCCTCCTCCTCCTCCTCCTCCTCCTCCTCCTCCTCCTCCTTCTCTTCCTCCTCCTCCTCCTCCTCCTCCTCCTCCTCCTCAGTTCGTTTTTCACCGAGACGGGTCGGGCCCCACCGGAGCAGGAAGCATGGGCCGTTCGCGTCCTCCTTCGCATGCTGCTGCCCCGTTTCATTGGGGGCTCGCCGTTCTCATCAGATTTGGGCCACCCTTGACCGTGCCCTTGTCGGCCGACAGACCGACCGAGATGGGGCTGGAGGAAGGGCAGCGGACGAGGGACTGAGGTTCAGTCGGGCCTGTCCCTCTACAGGGAGAAAATTCAAAAATTGTCCAAAACATGTATGGGGACTATTTTTTACAATTTTTGAGCATCTTTATTGTATCTTTAAAATATTTCTATTTTTCGCCGAAAATCCCCCTGTCGGGGGACACGCCCGACTTAAGACTGGGGGCGAGAGGCGAGGGACGAGGGACGAGGGGCTGCGAGGGAGCACCGGGGCGACGAGGAGGGGGTCACCACCCACCAAACTACCCCAACCCAACCCGACGGCCCCAATGTGCCCTCCATTCCCAGACGGGAGCATTGGAAAGCAAATGTGGGACCCGTGCCCCCCCCCCCCAACCCGAAATGTGAGTCTTCGGGTTAGGCAGGGGTGGTCTGGTAGGTAGTCAGGGGGAGGAGGAGGAGGAGGAGGAGGAGGAGGAGGAGGAGGAGGAGGAGGAGGAGGAGGACGCGAGGAGGAGGAGGAGGGGGAGGGGGAGGGCAGTAGGGGCGGGGGGAGGGGGCCCGCGCCTTCGACCTTCCATGCTGCACGCCGCCCCCTGCACAGCCCCATGCCGTCGCCAGCGACGGGAGCGACAAGGCG